ATATTATGCAAAAAGTGAAAAGGTTGTGATTAATTTACAATCTCGATAAAGGTCATGATATTAGCCGCAATTTTGCAAAAAAAAAAAAAATGTCTGTTAAATACACATCAGCAGGTGCATTGGCATTTTTGAGTGCCACGTCAGACGAGTTGGGGCAGCAGATGAAAACTGTGTATCGTTTTGCAAAGAATTGAAGGGTGTGATATATTATGCAAAAGTTAAAAGGTGATTAATTTGCAATCCCACTAAAGGTCATGATATTAGCCTTAATTTTGCCTTTTAAAATTACTCAAACCAAACCAAAAAATTCAAACAAATTCAAAAAAATTTATATCAAAGCATCCAGGTCCAGGTATGAAATTCTTAGAGGCAAACAATCAGTAATGCTAAGGAGCCAACATCCAATGAGACAACTCCATGTGGGGCTGTCCCACATGGCTCCAATGTGGGACAGCCCACATGGAGCTATCTCATTGGTTGTTGACTCCATAACGGAGCCAACAGTTGACTCTTTAGCATTATTGGGCAAACAATTGCTTAATATAAGAACCAAATTGAACTCTCTAGTATATGTTGAGGACCCACTAGATTCCAATTGCGATCCAAGCAAGCTGGAATATTTTCTTTGTTGCATAATTTCATAACAAAGTTGTGTTCATATCAAAAACTGATTTTAAATGTCCAAATCCCAAATCAATCTAGTCAACGCGTTGGGATGCAAAACGGTGATTCTATTGACTTTGGAGTTTCAGAAATTGAGAGCATGGCATTTAAAAGCCATTAGAGAAGGGCCTTTGTTTACGTAGACTATTGTCCATGCCCAGTTTGGATATTTGACTCAGTATACGACTACAAAATAAATCTCACCTAATTAGCAGGTTGTATGGTTAAGTTTGAAATTATGTAAAAGAAAATAAGAAATTACTATATTCAGTTACTATATTCTTTTATTTGTTTATTTTTTTGAGTTGGGTTTATCAGTGTAAAGTTTTTTTTTTTGGGTACGTTTCATTATAACATGTTGTATTGATGCGTATGGAAATGTTCGGTTATGTGACGTGAAGGCCCAATTGCAATTCTTGTCCACGATATATTTTTGTAATTAAATGCCTCTCATATAGCAGTTTTAGTCCAATAAATTTTGGAATTTTGCAGGAAAGTATTTAATGACATATTATTAGGTAGTTAATATGATTATAGATAACTCATGTAAGATTTGCTTAGTTTTGATTAATTTTTTTTGTCTGTGTATCAAAGATGTGCACAATCGTTTTAGTATAAATAGATTTACAATATTCTATTCTTTCATATCTTACAAGAAAATTATTAATTAAGAAAATTTGAATATGTAATTTATTTAACTCTAGTTGTATTTTTCTATTCTTTCATATCTTACAAGAAAATTATTAATTAAGAAAATTTGAATATGTAATTTATTTAACTCTAGTTGTATTTTGTTGGTGAGTTTAGTAAATTTGGTGTTCCGGTTTGTAGTGCCTGGAGATGTAGACAATATTGGCCGAACTCCGTATCAATTTTGTGTACTTTTTTTTTTCTCGCCTTTTATTTATTTGTGTTGACTTATTTTTAATAATATTGCTTGTCATTATTTGTTGGAGAGGCATTTTTGTCCACTGTGCTTGTTGTGATACCCCCGACAAGTGGTATTAGAGCCATCCTACGCTCATTCGCTGAGGCGAGTGTTGTAGCAAATTATTTTATGTTTTTACCGAGTACCGAATCAAAGGATTCGTTCCCCGGGTCGATCTCTCGAGGAAGACGGTTCGGAATTTAGCGTTGGTCTTGATCACACACGAAAAGAAAATAAGTCCTAAACACTCTAATCACGATTGATTTGGGGAATCAACTAAAACAAGCTAGAACTAGAAAACAATTTAAAGAAATAACAATTAAATTTCTAGAGAAAAAGAAGAAGTTCTAGGGGTCGGGAAATCTCATCAAGTCTTAAACTATGTTGAACGCTTATTTGTTCGGTTACGAGATTTAACAAGCCTACACGTCTAGAGGGCTATGCTCAATAACTCTTCGTAACAAGAGCACAAACATAAACGATAAACTCATTCAAACAAGCAACACATAGACAATACTTTTACGAACATGTCTACTCTATACGAGCCTAAATCGACCGACGTCTCCCCTCTCGGTTCTAAACGCCGATTAACTAGGTTAGAATGGTGATCAATCAACTAACCATATAATTCACACAACTCGTATAGATTAAACAAAACACATTCCTCATAATTCAAAACAAGAATCAAAATCCCTAACCCTAGGTGAATGGATTACCTCATGCTTAGATTCAATTTCATGTTAAACAGAACTAAAAACATAAAACTAATCAACAATAATAAAAGAGAATTGAAAAACTTACAATCGGTTAAGAGTTGCAAGATTTCAATCCAAATATCTTTGTGTCCAACAATCCAAGCATGAGAGAAAAAAAGAAAAGCGGAGAAATTTATCCTAACAATATTGAGTTTTTGGAGAGAAAAATTGAAAGGAACGATATTGGGGATTATTCCTTAGGTCTGGGGAATCGTTTTGATATATAGTGCTCGAAAAACGAAGCTAAAACGAGTAAAAACAGAGAAAAATAAAAACAGGGTCGAACAGGTCGCGACTCGCGAGTTGACTCGCGAGTCGCGAGTCTGACGGGTCGTGGGGTTGCGCAGCTGGTCGGAGGCTCTGTTAAAGTCGCAAGTCGCGACTTGGCTCTCGCGAGTCGCGACTTTGGACTGCACTGTGCCATTTTACGTTTCGGGCTCGTTTGGGCTCGTCCGAACTCAGAATTGAGTTCCGTTTTTTGCTACGCGTCGCTAACGAACCCATCTATCCAATTGTGCTCTCGAAATCAACTTTTCCTGAAGATAAAATTTTTCCGAAGCTCCCGACCTACACACCAAAAACGACAAAACACGAAGAAAACCGGGAAAACAAACGAAAAAAAAAACCTAAAGACTCAAAATGAAGGAAAACACATAATAAAACACGAAACGGACTAAAAACTAAAGAAACGACCTAAAACGGGAGAAAAAGAAAGATAAAATAAACACGAAAAACGCAACAAAAATAGGACAAACAACGAGCGCTACATTGAGTTACAGATGTCCAAGGGCGCATTATCCTCTGTACTCATTTCGACAAGGACGGTGATGTCGAATGTCAGACTCCCGATGGAGATCTTTGATGGGACCGCACATTTCGGCATGTGCCAATGCGAGGTATTGGATTGTCTATTTCAGCATGGCGTCGACATTGCCACAGAAGAAGAGAATCCAGACAACGTTGATGACAAGGACTAGAAGAATATCAATCGCTTAACATGTGAAACAATCCGTTCGTCTTTCTATAGGGAGAAGAAGTACGCGCTCATGAATGAGAACTCCACTCACACTCTGGGGAAGACTTTGGGGGATAAATTTTTGAAAAAGAGCGGCCATAATAAGCTCCTCATGAAGAAGCGATTGTTTCGATTTGAGTATCGGCATGGCACATCGATGAACTCGGACGAAGAACAAACAAGAGACGAAGAATCCAGCAGCAGAAGATGAAGTGTTGGTTGCACGAAGTTGGTCGAAGAGCCAAAAGAAGAATAGACGAGAAAGATCACGTTCCAAAGCTTGACAAAAACGAGTGTAAGAAATGGGGGGAAAACAGGTGCGGTTCCACGCAGATGAAGTGCACAAACAGGGAAAGCCCAGATGAAGCCCAAGTGGGGTTCCATCCCAAAACCAATTGGTGGAATGAGGAGTAGCCCATTAGACTTATAAGATGAGTCTATTTTCCATGTATAAACGATGTGGGAGAACTCACAAGTGATATTCTAACATACTCCCTCACTTGTGAGTTCTTAATAAAAAGCCCAAGCCCATATACAGAGTTGGGTGCCTCAAGCCCTACTAGAAATAGACTCCCATAAACGGGTACGTGGGGAAAAACGAGTACGTCATCGTACGGTCCCACATAGAGCCGGCTCTGATATCATGTAAGAAACGGGGGAAAATGGGTGTGGTCTCACACACGTGAAGCGCACCATAAGTAGGGAAAGCCCAGATGAAGCCCAAGTGGGGTTCCATCCCAAAACCAGTTAGTGGAAGGAGGAGTAGCCTAGTAGACTAATAAGGTGGGTCTATTTTCCATGTATAAACGATGTGGGACAACTCGCAAGTGATATTCTAGTGAGTGTGTTTTCTGCCATGAGAAGGGATGCTGGAAGAAAGATTGTCCTAAGTTGAAGAAGAAGTACAAATCTCTTCAAGATGCATATGTTGCCGAGAGTAGAAGTGAAGACTCAGAATTTTCACGTGTGGTTTCTCTTTCATCGTCTCATCCAGACGAATGAATTTTGTATTCAAGAGCACCTACCATATGTTTCCTATCAGAGAGTGGTTCGTCAATTTTCAAAATATCAACGGAGGGATTGTCCATATAGGTAATGATAATGCATGTAAGACAACCGCAATATGTTCAATCCGTCTGAAGAATCACGATGGATCCACCAGAGTTTTATGTCACTTTGAGATGTGAAATCGCAATCAGACTTATTTCCCATTTCATTTCTTCTCTTCCCCACTCTCCCACCTTTGTCTTCACCCTCCATTAACGTGGCCAGAGGTATAAAGGTCGCAAGTCCAATAAACATCTCGTGCTCCAATCGCCAGATTCTTTCAAATCCCCGTCGACCAATAATTGTAAGATCTACGGCCAAGTGTAAATCAAGATTCGATAGGAGAATGCCGAGGGAGACGACCTATTTTGATCTGGGCCAACTCGTCGGTCCCGTTGCCAGTTCTACAACCTTGTCTGCGTCCCCTTCGTTGTTGTCTACTATCCCAACAACGGCAGCTTGAAGCCCAACTGAAGAGGGGATGCAAATTTGGCAACAGGCGAGAGTGGCGGAGCTGAGACAAGAATAGAGAAAGGGAAAGGAGGGATGCAAAAAATTGAAAAGCAACCCTAATTTGACGAGAGAGAAGAGAGATGAGTAATATAAAAGGCAACCAAACTAAATGACAAGGTTAGATTGGATAATTTTCAAAGGATTACAATCAACAAATTTTTGTCTAAAAGTATTATTTTACACCATCAGATGCAAGTCCTTTCTTGTGAGAAGTAACAAGTTGAGCAATGCCATGTTTCAGATCCTATTCCAAATAATACTATAGCACTAATATCTTTGTTTCACAATCATAATATGTCCCCAATGCCACTCAAATTGATCATGAAATACTCTCAGTATCCATACACACGGAAGGAAACAAGAGGAAAACAAAAGAAGCTCATGTTGATAGTCAATCCTCCGCGCCTTCAATATTCGCTCCTTTGAGATGGAGATGCTTTTCTCGTTTTTGAAACTCTGTCAGACCTTTCCCACTTCCAGTCACCCCAACCTTCCCAAAAGGATCTTCCGGAGATTTAAATATGCTCTCCCTTTTTCGACCAGTGAAAAATCCAACCTACAAAATAAGAAACACTTAACCTGTCATCATTCAATGGCAGGGACAGATCCAGAATTTCTATTTTTTTTTATTATTTTTGCAAATACGGTATATTACATCAGAAAAGTTTAACAGGCATACAGTCATATCCTTCTAAGTCCTAACCTAATTATTATACAGATTATATATATGTTTACATATACAATGGAACATAGCCATGCATCAGGTTTTAGAATAACACACGATAAGTGCAAACATAAGCACTTTATAAAGATTACCTTTTTACTCTTTCCTTTACTTGTCTGGAATTGCTGCCATGCGTTTTGCCTTTTATTCTGTGTAAACTCTTTTGCCTCCATCCGCATCTTGGACTTGAAAGCATGTATCTTCTTACGTTTTGCAGCTTTCTGGGAAATGGCAGATGTGAAGAATCACATTAGCAAAAAATGAACATAAAACTTCAAATGTCAGAATGCAAAAGGATGCCCGATAATTCGACCCAATGGATGAACACACAACCTATACAATATAAGAAAATAATCCTTCTGTTGACAAAAAGAAATGACATCTATAAAGAAACTAAAATTGCAGGAAAAAAAAAGAAATCAGTCAGCAATTTACTAATTGCATTTACTAAAGAGGACTCCTGCAGAATTCATGGTCAGCTATAACATGGAGAAATATTATGATCACGATCCACATAAAATGAGCTGAAATTTCTGAACATTACCACATCCTCAGGATCATTGGGATCAATCTGGAGTTTTGGTGGCAGAGACCATGACTCGAAATCCTTAGAGGCAGCTTGGGCAATTTTACGTTTAAGGGCTTCTTTTGTAGCCACAGCAATCTTTTCAGCTTCCAATAAAGGGTCGGCAGTGTCTTCTTGGATTGGTCTGACATTGTCAGGATCAACCTGGAATTGCCAATTAAATAGCATAACCTCAACAAAGTTTCGCACAATACAATCCTAGTCTTTCATCAATCATAAATAATAAACATATTAAAAGATTTATAATATAACTAATTCTCAGTATACATATAAAAGTTTACTTTTCTTTCTTACAACAGAGACAGTAGCTTGATCCACTCCTATCTATTTAATCCCACGAATCAAAATATTAAACAAGCTCAAGATAAGGAAGCTGAGAGGGGCATTTGGACAGCACAGCAAAAATTGTAGTTCATATTTGCTAC